TACATGAAGAGTATCCGCAGCAGTAACAGGAAGGACACGGAGTTACAGCAGACCACGCCAGCTCACGTCTGTGGGTCACGGTGGGACTGGTTAAGACATACTAACAATTAGAGACAACTTCAGCTATGGAAAATAATTAGCGTCGCAGTCTGTTAAATAGGTCAGACCCAGGCGGGTAGTTTTATCCCTCCCTCTCCGATACGTTGGTCCAAAGTTAGCTCACGGGTTTCCCTTCCACCCGTCTGTCTGGCACCGCTGGCGCTGGCCCCGAGCAGTCCTCGCGCCGACATCAGCGCACCAGGGCGGCTTCCCTACGGCAAGGGGCAGGGAAGGCTGAGCTCTGGCACCAGAGGCCAGCCAGCCAAAATCTGGTCCCCACTGAAGTCGCTGGGCACCTCCCCAGAGAGCGGGGAGACGCTGGGACCCCCTTTGCTGGGGCAAACTGGAGCAAACTGGCAGAGATGCAAGAGGAGTCCCTCGGGAGAGCCTGGGCTCGGCTGCCTCGGGTTTATCTCGCCGCGAGAGAAGATGCAGGTGGTGGCACAAGGGCCCTGAGGGTTCCTTGTCCGAACGGCTCTGGTGGCATTGGGGTGTCTCTCTAGCTGGCCGGGTGTCTATGGAGCTACACCTGCGTGAGCGCTGGCCGTAGGGAGGGGGGGACAGGGTGGGTGGGATTTGTGTCCCATCCCGTACCCAACGCTTCCTTCTCCCTCCAGCCCTGAGCTCCCGCTGACCAGACGCAGCGTCGACCTCGGGCTGGGGGGGTACGAGCGGGTTGATAAGACCGGGTGTCCCCAAAGGGAGCCAAGACAGGGTGCTCGGGGGGGAACCCTGCCCTGGGGACACCGAATCCCCTCGCCAGCATTCATCTGCTGCTGGCAGGAGGGACAAGGACTTCCCCACCCAGGCGATGGGTCCAAGCCCAGCCCTGATGCTAACGCAGAGGTGCTGGCTGAGCCAGGGGCCAGATCCTGCCCTGGTTACAGGGGCAGCAGCTCTGTGCTGAGCTTGGCTGGCGTGCACGGGGGCAACCATACAGCACGGGCATCAGGGAGGAGCAGAGCGAGCAGGAGCAGTCCGGCAGCGTCCCTGGGGAAGGGGGACACAGGGGTCCCCCCCAGGGAAAGGGAGAGACCAGCCGGTCCCCAGCAAGTGCTGGCGCCATGCCCTGAGCCCCCAGCTTCTCACCTGTGAATTTTGGGGGAGCAACTTTGCAAGTCGGTCCCTGCCTGCCACCACCAAGGAGAGCAAAGCTGAGCCTTTATCTCAGCCCAAGCACGCCAGGGGGCGAAATGCCGTGCCCAGCAAGCAGGAGCCGAAGGGAAGGGGGGATAAGGGGGTCCCCAGCCAGCTGCAGGGGGTTTGGGGGAGCACCGGGGCTGGCAGTAACAGGGAGCAGTTGTGCGGGTGTGCGTCGGAGAGCCACGCTCAGAGCCAGGACCCGGCCTCCCTTTCTTCTCTTCCACATGGCATTTATCAGCCCTGTCACTCTGGAATGGTATTTTTTTCCTTTTCCTGTTCATTTTCATCTCTCCCCAGATGAGAATTTTCCCCAGTTTAAGCAACGCTTGCTCTCCTGCGGGCAGCAAAGAGGGGGCGTTCACTTTATCGCCATCTCTTCCCCTCGCGAGCTCTGCCCCCGCTGCCCTCCCCGCTTCATCTTACTTCCTACAGAGCTGGTAAAAATAAACATGTTTTTATTTGCATGTATTCGGCTGGCCTGCAATTTGGCTGATGGGAGGGGCTCCTCAAGGGACAGCAGCTGCACGCATCTGGATTTGCTTTAGAAAAATGTGCCTGGAAAAAAACCCCAAGCCCAGCACACACAGGCGTGGGCACACGAGGCCATGGGTCAGTATTTTCTAGGGATGCAAAAGCAAAACAAAAAAATTAAAAAAAAAAAAAAGAAAAAGAAGGAACCAAGCCCCATCCAAAGGTGAGGTGGGGGGACCTCACTGCTGCTCCCCCAAAGCCAAGGCACTCGGGTGGGCCGGGCATGTACACGGGGACTTTCCAGCCACCCCAAAAATCACTTCCCTGCTGATCACGACCGAGCCCAATTTTGGTTGTGGGAAGGAAGAGGAATGGTTTGTACTGAAAAATAAAATTCCCACCTGGAGAATATTAACCTCAAAAGCTAATGTGCGAGCTTTGTCTAAAGATGAAACGTCCCTGTACGGAAACAGCCCTGGCCCAGCATCCGCAGAGCACGGGGAGTACACGAAGTCATCGAAAATATGCGCTGTTGGCCCCGAGGTTTTGGCAGAGATCAGTGGAGCTGTGCTCATGAGAGTCTCGTGGCGCACCCAAAAAAAAGATATCCAACAGTCTTGCTCGGAGTGATCGCTCTCCAGTCTTGCACTGGAGCAAAGTCAATGACTGACCAGGTCTTTTCCCATCTGCACGGGCCTAATCCTGACACTGGCCAGCAGCCGATGTTTGGAAGATGCCTCCGCCAGCTGCGCAAGGGATGAGCGGCCGCTTGGACATGCGGACGCGAGGCGGAGGCATCAGCTGCTGGCGCCTTTGCGGGCGCAGGCTGGTGGGCTGAATTCTGGGGCCGCTGATCCTAAACGACAGCCTGCCCCCCCAGCGAAGCAGCATCACTTGTCACCCTGTGCCTGTCCCTTCCCCTTATAAACCTTCTGACCTTGCACGGTGCCATGCCAAGGTCAGCCATGCCCTGAGCGGTTATTTCCACCCAATGCTCTATGGACGCCCAGGACATGCCATCGCTCGGGCTCCGTCGCTCCTCTCTGCCTGTTCTACCGCGGGACATAGGGAGAAAAGAACCGCAAGGCCAGAGAGTGGCCGTAGTGGCATTAGTGGAGTCCTGGGGCTATTTTGGGACTAACCCTGGTCCCAGGGCTCTGCAGGAAGGCGAAGGAGCACTGGGGAACGCAGCCAAGAGGCTTAGAGCCCTCCCCAGGTCCCCCTTCGCCCAGAGCCAGGGCACCGGGTGATGGCACCAACTCGGGGCTGCACCTAACCAAGCCCAGAGGGAGAGGAGAAGACATCTCCCCCGCTGCCACCTTGACCAGTCGTCCCCAGGGCCGCTGCCCAGGCACGGGCTGTGCCCGCATCATGGCGCGAGCGATGGAAGGAGCAGGGCTGGGGTCTGAGGTTTGCCCCTCCGTACGGGCTCCCACGGACCCTGAGCAGAAACCTGCTGTTACAGCCGGTGGAGGAAGGGGGAAAACCCCACCGAGAGCCTTTCTCGGGGCGGGCACCAGTGCTGGCCACCCCCCCCCAGTGGTGCCAGGGCTTGGGGGCAGAGGAGCCCCTTGGCATGGAAGCAAAACACCAGAAACAGGAAAAAACCCCTATTCCCCAGGGATGATTAGAAGCGCAGATGAACTGGCCATGGGTGAGCAAAGCAGGAGTTTCTGGCTGGCTGCTCCGGCGGAGGGAGGCCAGCCCCGGGGGGAGTTACTGCTGTCCCCTCCAGCAGCGTCCCACGGCGGGACGGGGCGGGAGGTGCCCAGGGCGGCCGTGGGGATCCCAGCCAGGGAGCGTGGGCTCGCTGCCTGTCGAGCCGCTACCCGGGAGAGGAGCTGGTCCCCCCGGGAAAGCTGCCAGCTCCCGAGGGCAGCAGCAGAGCGAGGCCAGAGGAAATCCCAGAAGGGAACCCTCCCTCCCACTTCAATAGGTAACACTGCCTTGACATTAGAGCTTTAAAAATAACAGACACATTTTGGAAATACTGGGTGGCAAGGATGCCAAGGCTTCCTAGCACATCTGATGCTTCATCCCCAATCCTTTGGGAGTCAGTCCCCAGAGCATCCTATAAATCCAAGCACGTACGTGCAGGAGGCAACGGGGCTGCTCCTCCTCCCTTTTTTGTGACCAAAGGGGAAACCGAGGCAGCAAACTCGAGCAGACTCACCCACAGCTTCAGGGGGAGTCGATGCTGCAGGCAGGACGAGTGCTGCCAGCCCCGCAGCCGCGTCTTGTCTGGGGGAGCCCTTTGCCAGGCACGGGTGGGAGCACTGCCAGCCCCGAGGAGGGACCCAGCTCCTGCTGGGTTGATTTCTACCAGGCACTTTAGTTGAAGGAACCCAGTTTCACCAAGAGTGCAGGAATGTGCTCTATGTAACAAGTTATTTATGAATTTTAACAGAGCAGGGAGCTTTCTTCACACCCAGGAACCCCTCCTGCTATGTCCACTTCATCTTTCCCCCTCCTGATCACAGCCTGAAGCCCCCCTCTCACCGAGCGGGGCAGAGCCGCCCCGGCCCTACATCCCTGCACCACCCTGCTGCCGGACAGACAGACGTACGCACGCTGGCTCCCAGGGCAATGGCACAATGTGTGCCACCCAAGCCCGTGCTCATGCATGTCCCCGCTGCCCATGGGAGCTGAAGGGAGGCGGGTGGGCTCACCAGCTCCCTGCGCCTGGCACAGGGATCCCACCTACGTGCCCTGCTCCGAGCCACGAGGGGATGCGGCCTGAAGGCATCCCCCTCCTTCCCCACTCTCTCACACAAGGCGAGGACGTCTCTCCCACCCTCTCGCTCCCTCCAGCCCCAGGAGGGTTTGCAACAGCCAGCCGAGGAGAGGGACCGTGGGTGACGGGAGAGGGCTGCTGCTGGCCCAGGGTGCAGGGTGATGGACAGCCGAGCGCGGCGCTGGCCGCAGCCCCCAGCCCTGCCAGCTGAGTAGAGAAAGTGCAAAGCAAAGCGTTTTCGGTGCCAGCCGGGAGTCCCCATAAGCATCGCACCCTCAAAAGCAAGGAGTCAGGTTTACCCGGGGGCTTTGCATGGAAAACGATGGTCGTGTCATTCATCAGTGAACGGAGCTGCACGTCACTGCCACACAACAGAACTTGTGCAAGGGACTTTGAGATGGTGCAGGATTTGGGAGGTGGTGATGGACAGGCCAGGACAGCAAGATGGAGCCAACAACCAACGCTCTCCCCTCGCGCTCTGCATCCCCTTCCAGCGTCCGCTGCAACTGCGTCACCCCGACCCACCCACACCCTTCCTGGTTCTATTTTTTTGGCTTATTTACTTTGTTTTTAAACCCCATGGAGATCAAATTGTGACTTGGCAGCTAACAGAGCTGGCCCTACCGGGCTCCCCAGACTGAGCGAAGATCTTGAGAAGATACCAGAGTGAAGTCCTGGGGGGAGCGAAGCCCTCCCTGCCCCTCGCCCGGCCCCGCTGGCCGCTCACAGGGTGGCGGTGGGGTACTGCGCCCAGCCCACCTCCTTGTACGCCGCCGTCACGTGGGTGTAGATGAGGGTCTTCATCTTGGTCCAAGCGCCGTGTGCCTCCGGGGTGAAGTCGTTGGCGTATTCCTCAGCAATGACCTCCAGCATGACACCAGTGAGTTTCTGGAGGGAGGTGGACAGTGAGGGGTTAACTACTCTCCAGGGAGCAGCTAACAGCAAATTTAGCTTTTTCCTAAAAAAACCCCAATTTAATCCTGTGGCTGAGTGCTGGGAATGACAACCCTCTGCGGGACAGACATACATGCGGGAGGTCTGTGGACGCCCCAGGGAACAGACAGGGCAGGTAACCAGCCTGCCCGAGCAGGGGGAGGCCGAGACCTGGGTATGACGGGGTGCTGCTTGCAGGTTCAAGCATCTCCCTAATTTGGGCACCTCAAGTTGGTTAGTCCCTTCTACCATGCTTGATTTCTAAAAGAAGGGACGTGTGGCCACAACCATGCCGGCGGGGCTGCGGGCAGGACCCAGGCGGGCGGGTTTCCCTGGGCAGGGCGAGGCGCTTGATGCCCCAGCGTTGGCTGCATTTGGGAACGGTGGTCTGCATGGGACAGCGTGGCAGTGGGACACTGCAGCCGCGTGGGGAGCAACCCCCGCGACCAGCCAGCCTCCTCCGGGCGAGGACAGGCAGCACCGGCTCGCCACGGCTCCCTCTCTCCTGCCCTCTTCCTAATTTCTAAAGCATCCCAGAGATCTTTCTGCTCCCATCCTTTACCTTAAAGTAGATGGGCTCCACTTTGTGCTTGAGGGCGTGGGCCTTGCCCACCAGGGCCAGAACAGAGGAGACCTTTTCGGAGTCGTTGAGGTTCTCCACCACAGTGTTAATGGCACCCATGACCCGCCGAGCGTGCTTACGCAGTTGCAAGCTCCTCTCCATCTCCAGCGGGTCCTCCATGTGCTTGAACTGGCTGAAGTACTGCTTTGCCGACGGGAAGTTGACAAAAAACCTTCAAGAAAGAATAGACATGAGATCAGGAGGGTGAGAGCAGGCGGAGAGGTTAAAGCAAAGCATGGAGTGGTGGAGATGCTGGAAACCACCCCCTCGCAGCTAACACAGCCCGAGCTGGTTTTCTCATTGAATTCCCTGGGAGCTGTAGCATTCAGCTGCCTAAACATCAGCAGGTTAATGCCTTTCTCCCCAACCTTCCCTACATACACCAGAACATCGTGTCCTGTCTCAGAGAGCTGGAGATGAGCATGAAAACCTCTTTATCCCAGCCAGCCTCCCCCTCTTCCCCAGGCCCGCAGCGGGCTCCTGGCCCCACGGGCTTTACTCCTGCGTTGCCACCCAAAATCATCTCCCCCTGCCCGGGATGCCCCCGACTTTCACAGCCCTGAGCTCATGCCACTGCTCACCTATGCCAGGAGCCCTTTCCCCCAGCACAAGGACACCCCAGACACCCAGCCTGCCCCTCGGAGGGCTGAGCACCCTCTTTTCTGTGGGATTAAATCAACCCCAATGAAACGCAGCTGAAGCCAGTGAAGCTGTGGTTGCAGCTGAGGTGCTGAGCTTCCTCGGGAGGTGGAGGGCTGGGGGGTTTGAAGGGCACAAGGTGACGAGGTGAAGATCTGGGGCCACCGATACCAGCACCATCGATGCCAGCACCACAGGCGGTTGCTCTCAGCAGCCAGGGCTGACGCTCGAGTCATGTTAACCACCCCCTTCCACCCGATTTACACGGGAGAAAACAGCAGCAGCGTTTGCTCCCCGCTTTCACCCAGCTGCCTCCCTCCAACAGGGCTCTCCCTGCCTCCTCCTGGGCCCCCCTGTGCTTGGACAGGAGCCAGCGAAGGATGCTCAGGAGGTGGCAGACGGCTCCCAGGGCTGTCCCCCATTGTCCCCAGCTCCAGACAGACACCCAGATGCCTCCTCCCCTCTCCCAGGCTGCCGTGACCCCCTCCCCAAGCACCTTCCCAAACCATGTGAACCCATCCCACTCCTTTTCCCAGCCATTCCTACCTCCCTCCAGGACCAAGTGGGATTCTCTTCCCCACTCACCACTCCACAAATAATCACAATATTGAGGACCAGGCTCGTTTACCACTTCGTTATCCTCCTTTTCCCCCCTCCCTTCCCTCCTTCCCCCGCTCCGTTGGCTTGCGAAAGCTTGGGGGCATTGCCAAGGAAGCGGCGTGAAGCAGCGCCTGGACTGCACCGCCGCTTCTGTTGCTTCCCCAAGGCATCTGGGACTCATCAGACGGCCCAAAATAGGTTTTGGAGGTGTGAAGAGTGTGCTTAGGAAAGGGTGGGGGAGGAAGGAAGGTGGAAAGGGGGAGATAAGGTGTTGCTTTTAAAACCTGGAGGGGACTCGTGACAAAACTCCTCTTGTTGTTGTGCAGCCTCCCCCCGGCAAAGCTCCTCCTGACACATCTGGTCCCTGTCAGGAGAAATCATTTCCAGGCCCAGCTGTCTCCAGCTCCTGTCACCACACAGACAGACGCTCCGTCCGTACCCTTCAGCTCGGAGCTGTCAGAGCGGTGGTCAGGGACGGACACTGGTCCCCTGGCCAGGGGACGGAGCTGGCTGGGGCCATGCAGATAGCACCGTTCCCAGGATTCAAGACTTCTGCCCCGAGCATTTCCCAACAGAAAGACAAATGCTCCTCTCTGTTTTAATGGGGCCATTTTTTCCATCCAGCCCCAGCATCCTTCTCCCCTTGTCCCATCCCTCCCCACCTCTGGGCAAGCTGCTGCAGCCCCCGAGCCCGCAGCTCCAGCCGCCATCGAGATCAATGCCCCCCAGCTATCGACAGCAAACACCCCGCCGAGGTCGGAGCCAAAGGTTTTGCCATCCCTGCTAGCGGATCTTTCCCCCCTCACCCTCCTGCTCTGGCAGGCGTCCCCCCGGGCGCTGGGAGCAGGGGGTGCTGCTGGCAGTGGGACCTGCTGCCCACAGCCTGCCCCGACGCAGGGGACGGAGGCTGGCAGCCGGTAAACGCACACCAAAGCCTCTGAATCCCAAACCATCAGAAGTTCCCTGGAAAGCCCTGTTTGATCTCAGCTCAAGGGCATGATGTTGTGAAGACCCAGGGAATAAGCTCAGAAAAATTCCTGGTCTGAGCCAGGCTCTTCCAGCAGAAGGGGTACAGCAAGGGGGACCAACCCCTGCATCGCCAGGAATCGCAGCATCCCCCCCAAGAGAAGGGCCGAGAGGAGCCGCTGGGGCCGATGCCCTTCAGGAGCAGAGGCTTCGTGCCTCCCCCACAGCATCACCTCCACCTCTCTGCTGCTTTTGGCCAGCTACACCAGGAGCAAAGATTGATTAAACTCCCAAAAAGTCCCCAACCTGGGTGAGACCAGGCCAGTGAAGGATCCAAATATTTGGGTTCCAACCTTTCCCCACTTCGCAGACCCTCAAGGCGATGCCTCCGGTGAGAGCCGAGCCCAGCAGCTTTCCTAAGGGACCTGCGAGAGGGACAGCAGTGGTGCCAGAGGGATTAAAACCAGCAACCCCCGGCTCCCGTGCTCAACCCCGCGTGCCGTCTCATCGATGGAGAGCTGGAACAGGGGATCCCAAGCCATCTTTGCTTCAAGTTGAAAAGCAAATCCGTGGCCGGCCAGAGACCTGCAGCCATCCCCGCTTGGCCAGCGCCTCTCTGCAGGGCTGGGGAAAGGCAGGCGCCTGCCGCAAGGACTTCGGGCCTGGAGCAAATATTTGAGTTGTCGAACCAAGAAGAGGAGGGAAGGAGCTCGCTCAGTGGTAGTTGTGAATAAACAGAGAAGATTAATTTAACACAAAGGTTAAATATAACCAGAGGAAAGGAGGGGAAAAAAAAAAGGAAGAAATAAAATAACTCAAACAATAGAGAATTAGAAGAGGTGTCAGTTGGGGTTTTTCCATCTACAGAACATTTTTTGAGAGTTCAAACATCTCAGGCTCTGGAATTTTGTTGGCTCATTATGTGTGCGTGTGTGTTTTGGGCTCTTTTTCTTCATCGGAGTCATTAAAAAGATGATATTTACCATTGCATATCGCACAAAATGATGATTGATAGAAACCAGATGCCTGCATACCGATCTCATTAAATTTCTTTTTAAGCAATTCCATTCTGCACTCGCTAATTTGTACTCTGCGAGCTACATCTGGATCCAACGGACAGGATGTCAGGATTGCTTTTCCTCTCTTTTGCCCTTTTAACAACTTTAAGGACACAACCGCTCCCAGTAGCGGAGCCAAAGGAAATAATTAAGGTGCAAACCCACTGCAGTCCCTGGGAAGCTGTTTTCCACTCTGGAGGAGAGACACCACTTCTCTTCCCGTCTCCCCAGACCCTGCAGAGCAAACCCCACGGCGAGGACACCTTCCAGCCCGGCCACCTCCTTCCTTTCCCAGCTGGAAAGGGGAAGGGAGCTGCTCGCTCCGTCCCCCCGAGCACCTCAAGCCTCGGTGCTTCACTTACCCTGTTTGCAAACTGCAGGGCAAAAATGCCAGCGAGCCCTCGAAGGTGCTGGGAGGCTTCAGCTGAACCCCAGCCGGCACCTGTAGGCTTTTTTTTTGTGCTAGATTTTCCTACCGATGCCTTCATGTTTTCTCTCGCCTCGTCCCTCTACGTGGGAGAGACTCTCTCTAATGCAGCCTGGAGCCTCCCCGTGTCCCTTTTCAAACCTCTCCTTCCAGCTCCTTTCTGCTCGGGTGCCCACAGAGCAGCTGATAATGGGTAGGCAGGTGGTGTGTGGTGCTGCTATTTATTATGCCGAGGGCTGCCTCGCCGCTTCGCCTGCACGTTCCCCCTGCTCCTCCCAGCCACCTGTAGCCTATCGTCCTATTTTCAGGCTGGGGCAGGGGTGCTGGGTGCTGCCTGTGTTTACAGCTCCCAGCCCAAGGTGAGCAAGGTCTCAGCCATGTCAATGCCACCGCCCAGCAAGACAGAAATAGGCAAAACTAACTGGAATAAGAGGATGGTGCCTGCTTCCCCCGCAGCACAGCTCTGCCCGTGTCCTCTCTCCAAGGGCTCACGGACCAGCAGAGATGGTGGTGGGCAGCAGCTCCAGCTCCGGCGCAGGAGGGCTGGAGGGAAAAGGGCCAAGCCCCCGCTCCACACACTGATGCTAAATTCAACTTCTGCTACAGCTGAAGGAGAAGAGGTGTAGCTGGCCTTCCTCCAGGTGAAGCCCACGTCCCGCTGCAAAGCCTCAGGAGCAGACTCCAGCATGACGCTGAGCCGGGCTCGGAGGCCATAACACCCCAGGCACTGCAGAGCCGCAGGGCAGAGGGACCAGGACACCCCAGTGAGGCTGGGAGAGGGCCCAGCAGCAAAGATGCAGCCAAATAACATGGGCATGAGCTAGCAAGCCCCGGGGGCACGTCCTGCTCGCTCGTGTGTGCACAACTCACACCTCCGAGTCCTCATTGCTCTTGTCTTCCCCTACCACATATGTGGATTCAGCCCAAAGCCTCTTGGCCGCATAGATGAACCTTTAGGCTAGGGGTAAGGACAGCTTTCATCAGATAAATGAATTAACAGCGCCAAAGTCACTTTCCCACATGCCTCCAGTTTCCTACAGCCCTTGCAATCCCCTTCTCTCAGTGCCTTCATCCACAGCATCATCCTTGTCCTCCACACACGTGTCCCTGCCCCTCTCCGCTGCCAAGCCGCTGTCCCTGCCTGCATCCCTGCCCGCTGGGTGCAAGCAGCACGCAGGGACGGCCACGCCGGGCCCCTCCACCCCGCCACCAGCAGCTCCCCCCGCACCGGGCACCCTTCCTACAGCTCTGCCAAGCGGGGTCAGCGTGGCCCAGCAGCATCCATGGGCAGCAGGAGATGATGCTAAAACGTGACTCCTGCCTCCGAGGCAGACATACCGTGAGGATGGAGCTTGCTGGAGCCTGGCTGTGTGTCCCCGACCCCCAGGGTCAGCGGAGGGGTTTGGGGGGGAAGACAACCCCTGGCCGTGTGGAGATTCGCAAGGTAACCCAGATTCACAAGGACGTGGTCCCTGCGCTGGG